CGTAACCTTCCCTCAGCATCTGCAGCTGGATGGACCCTTGGGAGCCTGCTTGGCTGTGGAATGGGATTCAGGGCACAGCCATGGGACACGCTCCAGCCCTCCATGCATGGCCATGGCCAGCTGGTGACAGACCTGACTGTGCTGTGGGGTTTGGGTCCCAGGGAGCCCCAGAATCACCATGGGCAGCCCAGAGGCAGCAGCAGTGCAGCCGTGTGCTGGTGGCAGGGGTGGCTGGTCACAGCACTTTAAGTCCTGCTGGCTGGAGGTCACTGTGCCAGAGCATTGTGGCTGCACCCTGCTCACACCAGCGTGGCGGTGCTGAGGGTCCCCCAAATCACCTGGTCTGGGGCAAAAGGGCTTCCCCAAGGAGCCACAGACTGGGGGAGCACCAAACCATTCCATGTGAAAGCAGCTCTGGAGTGGGGGTGGGTTGGATCACCCCCACCACAAAAAAAAAAAAAAAAAAACAACAAAAAAAGGAAAGAGCTCCCACCGATTTTTTTGTCCTCTCTACCACGTGCTCCCCAAGAGGGGAGAATGGAGGTGCTGAGCTGCTCCCCGGGGCAAAACGCCCTCAGGTTTGCTGTTTCACAGGGGTTGCAAACACCCCTCAGGGCTGAGGCTCTCACCAGAGCCGGAAGAGTTAATGCTCCCAAAATGCCATTAAATGTTCCTGCTGCAGGTCAGTCTCCATTGGGGATTAGGGGGATCTGGCCTGGGAGCCGGGGCCGGCTCCTGCCAGCTCTGGGCTGGTGCGGGACGTGCTGGTTGAGCCCCAGCCCCATGTGCCGGGGTCTGGTGTGGCTCAGGAAACATCCTGGCTGTAAATCATGGGGGAGGGAGGGCTGGGAGCCCCAGGGGGCTGGGGGAGCCCCTGCAGGGGGCCTGGGTGGGCACCCACCCCGCCAGGCGAGACACGGTCCTGTGCCCGCAGCACGGCACTGGTGGGATGCGGGCCGGAAAGCAGGGATGGATCCGTGCCGCTGTCCCGCTCCCGGCACCTTCGGCTGTGGGGCCGGTGGGTGCCCAGAGATGCGGTGCGGGGTGAGGGACGCCCGAGCCCGCCGGGTCCCGGCCGCCCGCTCCGTGGTGAGCTCCGCGTCCCTCCCGCCGGCCGCCCCGTCCGAGGGGACCGCAGGCTCCGGCTGTTTTCTCATCCTGCAGGAATTCGGCTCCGTGGGCCGGGCGGGTTTTTCTGTGAGCCCCCCCCCCCCCCCCCCCCCGCCCCCCCTTTCACTCTCCCTCTTTGGAGACTTTCTGCATTCTGCCTTTGATCTCCCCCCGTGTTTGCCCAGGGATCGCCGGGCTCGCCGGGGTTAGAGGCTGAGGTCAGCGCCTTTCCCATTCCAAACACCCAGAAACATCAGTGGGAAGGGAGGGGATTCAGATTACAACCTTCCCGTCCTCCCCTTCCACCCCACTCGCCCCGCTGGCCGTGCCGGGGATGGACTGAGCCCCGAGAGCCACCCGCCACTGCCGCCGCGTCCCCGGCGCCCCGAGACCCGAGCGGCGATGGATGGAGGCGGCGCGCGGCATCGCCGGTGGTCCGGCGGGCGTCGGGTGTGCTGAAGGACAGAGGTTTGGTCCTCTCCTCCTACTCTTTGTCCCCCCGCCCGCCTTCTCCCTCATCCCGTCCGTCCTGAATGTGATTTATCCCGAGCCCTCGCCAGCGAGCCAGGCCGGCGGCGCGGGGTGGCCCCGATGGCTCCTCGGGGGAGAGGCGGGCGCGGGGCCCGGGGGCAGCGGACGGGCCGGCAGCGGGGCCCGCTGGGCATCGCGCTGCTCCTGCCCGTGCTGGCGGCGGCGGCCGGGCTGAGCCTGCAGCCGGGCAGGATGCGGCACCTGGGCGTCTGCCCCAACCAGCTGAACCCCAACCTGTGGGTGGACGCCCAGAGCACCTGCGAGCGGGAGTGCCAGGCCGACCAGGTGAGCGGGGGGGCTGCAGGCGATAACGGGGTTTGGGGGGCATCCCCAGGTCCCCGAAGGAGATACTTTGGGGTGTGGTGTGGGTCCTGTGCTGGGTGGCACAGCCGGTTCAGTTGTTTGAGAGCAACGGGCTCTGCAGCCTTGCTGCAGCTTTGCCCCCTAAGCCCCTCCTGTCTACTGGGCTCCCCAGTTGCCCACAGGCAGAGAAACTGCTTGTTGCCCCCTCATGTCACCCCCTCAGACCATGTCCCATGGTCAGAACACCCTCCTCGTGCACCCCCAGGATGCTTCCACCCTGTCAAAGGGCTGGCTGGGATGAAGGGAATGGGTGTGCTGGGACACGGACCCCATCAGCCCGAGAACAGAATCCTCTCCCAGATTTTCCCTGGGGGTCGGAGCCCACCCACGGACCGCGTTGTCCATTCCAGAGAGCCCTTGCTCCACCAGGCTGAGCAGGGGTAACCCCACCCCGGTTAGGGCTGTCTGAACCCCGAGGGGAGACTCCTTCACAATTCATCTGTGCGCGTTCTGCCCTCCCTCGGCCAGCAAAAGCTGAGAAGGGCAGGTTGCTCTCTGCTGTGAGGAGAAGGGACCATCATCCCTGCGGTGCACCCCCAAACATCCTGGGGGTGCTGAGGGTGGGCTGGGGCTGGGACAGCTGTGCCGGGGAGCTCTGGCTCTAGCCGGAGCCCAGCGATGCTGAAGGTGCACAGGGCTGCGCGGGGGACACCTGCCCACCCCAAAGTCCCACAGGGGTGGGAACAGCACCCACAGCCCCAGCACAGGGGTGACCTCCACGTCCCCCCCGCAATCTCTTCTCCCTCCCCGGCCAGGACTGTGAAGACTTTGAGAAATGCTGCACCAACGTGTGTGGGCTGCGGAGCTGCGTGGCCGCGCGCTTTGCCGACGGCAGCGTTCCGGCGCTGGCGCTGGCGCCCGCAGCCTCCTGCGAGAGCTTCGTGTGCGCGCAGCAGGGCTCCGACTGCGACATCTGGGACGGGCAGCCCGTCTGCAAGTGCAAGGACCGCTGCGAGAAGGAGCCCAACTTCACTTGCGCCTCCGACGGCCTCACGTACTACAACAAGTGCTACATGGACGCCGAGGCGTGTCTGCGCGGCACCCGCCTCACCACCGTGCCCTGCAAGCACATCTTCACCTGGCCCGACACCAGCCCCGTGCCGCAGGAGACCACGGCGCGCCCCACGCCGGGCGCCGGCCCCGAGCTGCCGGTGCCCCCCGCCCTCTACACCAACCCCTTCCACCAGTCCGTGCGCGCCGGCGGCACCGTCAGCTTCCGCTGCGACGTGAGCGGCCGCCCGCAGCCCGACATCACCTGGGAGAAGCAGAGCGAGCGGGAGGAGAACTTCATCATGCGGCCGGACCAGATGTACGGCAACGTGGTGGTCACCAACATCGGCCAGCTGGTCATCTACAACGCCCGCCACGAGGACGCCGGCATCTACACCTGCACGGCCCGGAACGCCGCCGGGCTGCTCCGCGCCGACTTCCCGCTGTCGGTGCTCAGGCGGGAGCCGGGGGGGACCCCGCGGACCGGCAGCCCCCAGCCCTTCCCCAGCGCCGAGTGCCTGAAGGAGCCGGACCGGCGGCGGTGCGAGGCCACGGAGGTGCGCTGGCATTTTGACGCCAAGCAGGGCTCCTGCCTGACCTTCCGCTACGGCGGCTGCGGGGCCAACAGGAACCACTTCGAGACGTACGAGGAATGCCGAGCCGCCTGCCTGGGCAGCGCCCGCCCCACTTGCCTCCTGCCCATGGTGCAGGGGCCCTGCCAGAACTGGGAGCCGCGCTGGGCGTACAACCACCTGCTGAAGCAGTGCCACTCCTTCGTCTACGGCGGCTGTGAGGGCAACACCAACAACTTTGAGAGCAAGGAGACCTGCGAGGACGTGTGTCCCTTCCCCAAGAGCCTGCAGTGCAAGGCCTGCCGCCTGAAGAGCAAGATGGTGCTGAGCCTCTGCCGCAGCGACTTCGCCATCGTGGGGCGGCTCATGGAGATCGTGGAGGACCAGGACTCTGGCATAGCCCGCTTCGCTCTCGAGGACGTCCTCAAGGATGAGAAGATGGGCCTCAAGTTCTTCAACATCAAGTACCTGGAGGTGACCCTGACCGACATGGACTGGAGCTGCCCCTGCCCCAACATGACGGCGGAGGACGGGCCCCTGATCATCATGGGCGAGGTGCACGACGGAATGGCCACGCTGGACCCCAGCAGCTATGTCCGGGCAGCCAACGACAAACGGGTGAAGAAGATCTATGAGCTGATGGAGAAGAAAACCTGCGACCTCCTGAACCGCTTCCAGGACTAGGGGAGAGTCAGGGTGTGCTGATGGGGGAGCTGCAGACACAGCACAGAGGGGGCAGCCTGAGGGAGCCCCTGCACCAGTGCCTGTGTCTAGAGGTTACCACTGTCAGGTAGTTCTCCCCAACCCCGTGCTGAGCCTCAGACCAACTCCCACCTCCACTGTAATTTATCTGCTGCATGTTCCCCCACTGTGTGACCCCTACCCCAGCCTGTCCAGAAGCAATAGAGAACTGGGTTGGGTTGCAGAGGGGTGGGAGATCTGCTGGGAACACCCCACCCATAAAATCTTCCCACATCACCAAAGCCTCTGGGCCCAGTGTAACACCCCTGGGTGCTGGACCTGACCCTTTAATTGGTGCTGGAGTTTGAACTGGGGACACCCCCACCCCCAGTGTTTGTGCTGAAAACATCAGGGAGCTGCTGGGGTGTGGGGGGCAAAGCCACAGAGTTTATTGGGGGGGCAACAGCACAATCCTGAGGAAAGGGGGAAGGGAGACACCATCGGCACAGCATCCTCTGAGGAAATGGAGCAAGGAGTCTCCCCCATGCCCAGGGGGTGTTGTCCCCCCCCACACCTGTGACCCCCCGTGGCAGCTGTGCTGGGTCTTGTGGCCCAGGCTGGGGCACCCCACTGCAAAGAGAGCCCCAAAGGCACCAGGGCAGATGGACCCCGCCCAGCCAAGTCAGCCCCAGCTGGGTGAGTGGGGCTCTGTCCCATCACTGCTGTCCCCAGCCCCAGTGGCAGCCACGGCGGGACAGTGACAGCCTGCAAGAGGCATCATGGGGACAGCAGTGCCGGGAGGCGCTGGAAGTGCCGTCAGGGCAGGTTACAGCTTGCGGAAGATCAGGCTCTTGTTGTTGGCCGGCATGTCCACCTGGAAGCACAGAGCCGGGCTCAGAGGTGCCCGGCAGCACGGGCAGCCCCGGGGCCCAGCACGTACCATCCTCTCCAGGCTCAGCCCGTTGGCCTCGGCCAGCTCCCGCAGCAGCGCCGTGTCCCGCAGCCCCCAGGCGGGATTGCTGCGGGGAGGAGCCCTGGGTCACACAGGGGACACCCAAAGCAGCCCCGGGGGCACCCCCGGCTGGGGGCTGCCCTCAGGCCTGGCTTATCTTGAGGGACCACGCTGGGAGGGAGCTTCCTGCAGCTGCAGGGTGGCACAGAGAGGACAGGATGGGGCCCCAGGAGCCCCCCTGCCCCCTCCTACCTCTGCCTCAGGCTGCGGTCAAAGTCCACGTTGCTCTGGGGGCTGATCTGGCCGTCCACGGCGTAGGGCTGGTGGGACACAGCTGGAGCTGCAGGCAGGAGCCACCCTGTGCACCCCAGCCCCCCTGCCACGGGCTGCTGCCCCCACCAAGCACAGAAGCCAAGTGTGAAGAGACACAGCCCCCAAGGAGTCCTGTCACCCACTGTGAGTCCTGTCACTCTCTGCAGGCACCCCCAGACCCTGCTTTGGATAAGGTGAGGGAGGACAGGATCTGCCTCCTCCAAAACTGCCCCTTTCAGGGCTCAGCAGGTGCCCCAAAAGGCAGAGACCCCCCCAGAAGCCAAGCCCCTGCATTTCCCAGCTCCCTCCCTAAGCCATGAGCAGAGCTACTCCCCAGTATCTGCTCTGACACCCTGCAGCCCCCAGGACTCTCCTGCACCGGGACAGGTGACCCACCCCATAGGTGAAGAGCACACCTCCGGGCTTCAGCAGCACCCCAGCACCCCTGAACAGGCCCTGGGGAACGAGAGAGGCGGGGACAGGTCAGGGGGCTAGGGACAGCCCCGGGAGCCGCCCCGGCAGGGGACAGGGGCTGTGGAGGGCGCTCACCTCGGTGCAGCGCAGCTCTGCGATGTGCATCATGTTGATGCTGACCACGAGGTCCAGGGTGGAGGGCTGGGTGCCCCCCCAGGTCTCCCAGCCCTGGGACACGTCCAGCAGGATGGGGGGCAGCAGGTTGGGCACCCCCGTGGCCTCCACGTAGGCAGCGATGCTGTGGGCATCAAAGCCCAGCTCAAGCCCAGCCGGGTGCCCCTGCAGCCCCAGCAGCCGCTGCAGGCGGGGACAGAGCCCTGCAGGGACTCTCAGGAGTGGGAAAACACCCACAGGGATGTGGGTGCAGCACAGCCTGGGGGCTCCTTGCCCAGCCCTTTGCTTCCAGCTGCCACATGGAGAACTGGAAGCACCTGGACAACCAGCAGCGTGTGGATGCAGAGGCCCCAGGGCCCAACCTTGCCAAGTTTGGAGCACTCTCTTGTGGGGAACCCCACTGGCACCACTGCACCAGCACCTCCTGATTTTGGTGTTATTTACACCCTTTTTGGCACATTCACCACCTAGGTCTCAGCTCCTGCAGCCTCCCAGCCTGGAGATTATTTTTACCCAGGGTGGTGGGTGCTACTGGGTGGGCAGCACAAAACTCCTCCTGGACAGGGGCTGGTTCCAGCATCTCCCCACCAGGCTTATTTTTTCTCTGCAGTGAAGAGCTGGATTTTGGGAGTTTTCTGGGAGAAATAAAGTCCTGAGGTGGGGAGCATGGGTTGTTTGGGAGTTGGATATTGGGGATTTATTGAAAAAAATATTGTGAGTATTGACCTGGGGAGCCTGGGCTGGGCAAGAGCTGAATATTGTGGTTTGCCTGGAAATAATAAAGCATCAAGCCAGAGAGCCTGGACTGTCCAAGGGGGTCTTTGCTGTGAAAAAATACACATTAATCTCATCTGAGAGCAGGATATTGGGGTTTGCCTGGAAAGAATACAGTACTGAGCAGGGGAGCTTGGGGTGATGGAGAGTTGGCTATTGGGTTTTTTCCTGAAAAAAGAAAAAAATTGTGGAGCCTGGGCCCACTATTGAGAGAGTCTTTTCTAGGAAAAAAATACGTATCCAGTTTATTCAAAAGCTGGATATTGGGGTTTACCTGGAGGTAGCAAAGCACTAAGCAGGAGAGCCTGGGCTGCAGGAGAATTAGATATTGGGGTTTTCCCAAAATCCCCAAAGGAAATAAAATAAAAAAATAAATAAATAATTAAAACGGGGAGCAGGGAACCGGGGCCGCGGCTCCATGGGCCCGTGGGAGGGGGCTGCAGGCGGCGGCCCCGGAGTCCTGCGGGGTCCCCCGTCCCCCCGGGACCCCCGGCCCCGCTCACCTGCGCAGCGCCCGGGGGTCGATGTCCGAGGGCTGCCAGCGCGTCTGCGGCAGCGCCCGCGCGAAGTGCGCGGCGTGGAGCCCCGAGCCCGCGCCCACCTCCAGCACCCGCAGCGCGCCCGGCCCCGCGCCCGGCCCCGCGCACTCCCGCAGCACCGCCAGGATCGGGCCCTTGTTCCGCTCCGCGGCCGCCGGGACCTGCATGGCCGGGGCGGGAGGGAACTGCGGCTCCCGGCACCGCCCTGCGCCGCGGGTGGAGCTCCGCACGGCGGGGAGGGGAGAAGGCGGAGCGGCCGCCCTGATTTTTTAAGATTTTCTAAGCCTTCTGATGCTTACATTCTCGTAGCAAACTTTCTCACACACTTTTTGTAAATAACTTACTGATTTGCATTCTTTTCTGGAGGAGGAGAAATTTGATGGACTGTTGGTTTGTCCAGTGTCATTGGAGAGGTGGCACTGTCACCCTCCAATCCACTGTCATTTTTGGAAAACTATAAATGTTGGAGTCAGAAAATAAACTCCCCCTTTTCTTCACCCTGAGAGCAGCAGTGTGTGTACGTCTTTCATGTCCTATAGCGACATCGAGCAACGAAAAATTACTGCGCCGCCCGGGAATCGAACCCGGGTCGCAAGAATGGGAATCTTGCATGATACCACTACACCAGCGGCGCGGTCGAGCGCCCTCTTACTCCGCTGCCCCTCGGCCCCAGCGCCCGGGGACCCCCAGCCCTGCCGCTCCCCCGTCGCGCACCAGCACCCCCTAAAAGGGACAAAGTGAAGCTCTGCGCGGACACCCCAGGAAAATGGGGGCGAGGGGGGGATCACCCCCCTTTTCCGCGGCAGCGGTCAGTGGTGATGGAGGTTCGGAGGGATCCATCTGGAGCACAAGGATTAGGGGTTCAGCCCTTCCAAGCATGGAAAGGCTCAGGAATGCGCCAACATGCGCTTAGAAACCCCGGGCAGGTCCGGGGGGAAACTGAGGCACAGCCCCCAGCACGTTACAAGGCGCGTGACAGCCACTGGTGACATCCCGTGGGTCAGGGTTGTATTTAGGCACAGTAACAGGGTTGGGGCTGGCAGCAGTGGATGCACACCCGCGAAGGGTCCAAGCGTGCCTGGCACCCACCAGGGCCAGGCGAGGCTGGGCTTTTATGGGAGGTACCCTCGTACACCCCTCCCTCTCTAGCCACTACCGGGGCAACGTGGCGGAAAGGCAAAGGTCACCCTCGTGGGGTGGCTCTGCAGCCCCTGGAGGGGGCCTGGAGCCTCCCAGAGACCCCAGTGTGTTTGTCACACGGTCTCTCCCCAAAACTCTGGGTGCTGTCGCCAGCCACAGGGGCGGCCGGTGGACACTGCGGGGTAGCCGGGGACCAGCTCGGGGTCGTGTCCTGGGTCTGCACCTCCTGCCACGTGGGGACACCTTGGCGGAACCTCCCACTCCAAAGATCACCGTGCTGGCAGGGACGCCGCTGCCCACCCCGGCTCCCTGCGCTTGTCGTGGGATGTGCGGCTCACGGCGCTGTCCCCGTGGGGGTGGTACCTCAGCCCCTGCCTCTGCACCCCTTCACTTTTCCCTGCCTGGGTCCTTTGTGTCCCAGGAATGACCCCTATCTGTCCCCTGTGTGTGCCGTGGCTCCAGTGTCCTGTGTCCTGAATGTCCCCGTGCGGGTCCCCTCCGAGTTTCCCGTGACTCCCGTGTCCCCTGCGCGCCTGTGCCATCTTGTGTGCCACGTGCCTGCTGTGCCCTCTCCCCTACTTCAGCCCCGCATGGTCCAATGTCCCTTCTGCGCATTCCGTGTGTCCTGTGCGAGTCCTATGTCTCCCGCATGTCCCTTCTGTGTCCCATGAAAGTCCCCACATGTGCTCCCAGCATGTGCCCTGCTTGTCTCCAGCGTGTGTTCCTGCATCCTGTGTGTCCCCATAAATCCACACACGCGCTCCCGATGTATCCCGTGCGCGTCCCCTATGTGTCCCCACAACCCAGACATGTCTCTTGCACAGCACACACGTGTCGCGTGTGTCCCCGCACGCCTCCCACCGAACTGTGTGTCCCCCCGACCCGTCCCGCGGGTATCCCCCGCTCCCCCCGGGCGCTGGGCGCCGTCTCCGCGTCCCCCTCGCTCCCTGCGCGTTCCCCTTTAAGCGCGGGGGCGTGTCGGAGCCGGGGGGGCCCGGCCCTGCCTGCTTAAGGCCCCGGCGAGGGGCACCTGCGGCACTCGAGAGGGCGGCGGGGCCGTGGGCCGGGGCCCGCACGATGTACACGCTGACACGGGGCCCCAGCAAGCTCGCCACGCAGCGCCGCACAGGTACCGGGGGGCGCGGGGCCGGGGGCGCGGGGGCTCGTCCCGCCCCGGCCGCCCCCTGACGCCCCGCGCTCCCCGCAGGTCCCACGCAGCAGGCGGTGGAGAGCAGCAAACTGGGCGAGTATCGGGGGCGAGCGCAGCCCGGCCTGTGGCCCCCGGCCAGGTGAGACCCTGTGACCTTGGCAGGGAGCGGCGCGGGGCGGCCGGGCCTGACCTTGAAGGGAACGGGAACGGGACGGCCGGGCCGCCTGCGGGACGCGGGACGGGGACCCGGGGGCTCCGCTCGGTGCCGCTCGGCCCGGGGGTCTCGGCGGTGCTTGTGCGTCCCGCGGAGCTTTGGGCACGCCTGGGCTCTGTGCCCTGTGCCGCGGGCCGCCCCGCGTCGGGGACACACCGGGGTGGCCGCCCCCCCTCCTTCCCACGGGCTATCCCCAGAAATCGCGGGGAGCGGGACCGGTGGGGTCACGCCAAGGAGGCGGCGCGGGGGGGTCCCGGTGCGGGGCAGAGCCGGGGCCGGGCTGGTCCAGCCCCTCCGCCGACGGCCCCGATTGCACGAACCGGGCGGCGGGGCCAGCGCCGGTCCCGCCCGCCTTGGCCGCGCCGCGCACCCTCGGGGGCCGCGGAGCCCACGCGGAGCCGGCGTTCCCCTCTGTCCCAAAAGCCGGGGTGACACTTTCTGATGAATTCCAGTGTCGCGCAGCAGTACCCGGAGCTGTTGGCAGGGTGCTGTGGGGTATTCCAGTGGCTGGGAGGTGCTGATGGGATCCCTACGGAGACCCTTTCCCGACTGGAGGCCTGGAGTCACAGCACACCCAGACAGGGTAGTGGGACCCCACTGGTTCTGCACTTCCTCTCCAGCTCCAAGAAATGAGCTTCCCCCCTACCCCCCAGTTCCTCTCCTTCCCAGGATCCCTGGAATTCACTGGAGTGGCTTCTGCCACATTTGCCCTCCGCCCTGCCCCTGGCTGTGGGGGCTTGAGAGTCACTGCCCTCCTCAGCCCCTGCCTGCAGATCTGCAGGAGCTGCCTCCTCCCAGTCTCTCCTGCCCTCCAAACCCACTCCTAGGGCCCCTTAGACTTTGCCCCATGAGGAACGTGGCTGTTGCAAGCGTGTCCTGCCCTAGAGCTGGGCAGAAAAGCCAAAATACTGGAGTTTGCATTGAACGTGCTCCTAGGTCTCATCCTGAGTCTTGCCTTTAGCTCTGGTGCGTGTTGGTACAGCCAGGCAGGGAGTGGTTGAAGTGCCCCTGACCAGAGGGGATCCCAGCTCTGAGGAAGCCTGACCTGCTCCCACTTTTCAGAGTGTAACATCTCAGTCCTGGGGCACCTTGTGTGCCCCATGCTGGGGCCAGAGCTGTTCCAGTGAACCTGGGTGTTTGATCTGCAGAGGATGGCCCATTCCCTGTCCAGTACCTGACTGGATTTCACTTCCATTTCCTGATATTCCTGCAAGTTTGGTGGCAGATTCTTTCTTAGGGACTGCACTTGGTGCTAGATTGGAGGATGGGTAGGAGATGGGCAGCTGGTGCTTTTCCCCAGGGAGCTCTCCTTGCACCCTTCCTGTGTCAGAATCCCCTGTCCCTGGGGGCTGGGTCCCTTTCCATCCCAGTCCTTGGGGATGAGGCTGGGTGGCTGCAGCTGTGGGCGAGTGTGTGCACTGTGGGGCAGCCCAGGACACCTGAACCGCCCCAGTTCTTGCTGGGGTGGGCATGGGCAGAACTGCCTGTGCCCTCATCTCCCCCTTGCTTCCCTCCCTCCACAGCCCAGCACAGAAACTCGTCTTCAACAGAGTGAATGGCAAGAGGCCCCCACTGCTGCTGCAGCAGATCTCAGCCCCTGAAGAATGTTACACCCTGGCCCACGAGGAGAACGTCCGCTTTGTCTATGAAGGTGAGGGCAGAGGGTCCCTGGGGCAGCAGCCAGAGGAGCTGGAGCAGATGGAGCCCCTTCCCAGCACCTACACCGTGCTGGGGACATCAGTGGCAGGCACCGAGTCCCCAACCTGGGCCCTTGCCCTCCTTTGCTCCACCTCCTGCTCCTGTCCCGCAGCCCCCAGCACTGGGAGCCCTGTCCCAAACCCACCCAGCCTCGTTCCCCCTCCCCAGCCTGGCAGCAGGTAGAGCAGCAGCTGGACAGCAGCCGGAGCGGGGAGAGCGCCTGCGGCCCCGTGCAGTACGTGGAGAAAACCCCCAACCCCGGACTCAAAAGTAAGTGGGAGTGGTTGTGGCCCTTTGGGGTGCATCAGGCTCGGGGTGCAGTGTGTGGCTGTGGGCTCAGCCTGCACCTGAACAGGGCTGTAGTGGAAGGAAGAGGAGGATCCCAGTGCTGGATGTGCCAGAGGGGCTGGTTGGGTCTGTCCTGCTGATGCTGAGGTCACTCTAGGGGTGCTGGGGGCACAGCTGTCCCCAGGCACTGGGGTGGGGATGTCCCACTGCATCCCTTGGATGTTCCACTGTGTTGCTGACTCCTCTGGGATTCAGACTCCTCTGCCACCAAGGGGTTCAGCATCATGCTGGAGAGAGAGGAGCTGCCTGTGGGAACCTGCTTCTCCTGGGGCCAGCAGGACCAATTGGGCTTGGGGACAACAGTTGTCTGGTGGCACCTGGAGTCAGCAGCCTTTGGGCTCTCACAGTGGCTGAGAGCTCCCCAAGGAAGAGAATGTCCCTGTAGATCCAGTCTGGCCTTTTGGGGACATGGCACAGGGGTGGAGAAGACCTGGGGGTGTCATTAGATTGGAGATCAGGGAAAGATTCTTCCCTCAGAGGGTGCTGGGCACTGCCCAGGCTCCCCAGGGAATGGGCACAGCCCCGGGGCTGCCAGAGCTCCAGGAGTGTTTGGACAGCACTGCCAGGGAAGCCCAGGGTGGGATTGTTGGGGTGTCTATGCAGGGACAGGAGCTGGGCTGGATGATCCCTGTGGATCCCTTCCAGCTGAGGATATTCTGTGATTCCATGGTTATTTTTTCTGGGGTTTGGAAGGGAGCACCCAAAGCTCTGCTCCTGCTCCAGCTGTTCCCCTCTCTCCCTCCCCTCTTTCTCAGACTTCGTTCCCATTGACCTGGAGGATTGGTGGGCACAGCAATTTCTGGCCAAAATCGAGAACAGCTCATAAAAGGGAAGAAAAGGTTGTGTTTGGTTTTTTTATAAGAGAAAAGAAGCTGCGAGCACCTGGTGACAGCCCAGCATCGGTGGCGTTTTTGAAGCGTTTTTAAGACGCCCGAGGTGGAGTGAGCCAGCCCAGAGCACCGGACCACAGCCATGCCCGGCCTCGCGCCCTCCCCGTGCCCGGCACAGGAGCAGCGTGCAGCCCCAGCCAGGATTCCTTAAGTGCCAGTTCTCGGACTGCTGCAGCTCCTGCAGCCTCCAGCTCCAGGGACACTGCGGTGCCACGCTGGGGACGAGGGAGCGGCTCCCCCCTGCAGCCACGGGAGGCCAGGGGGTGCTGCAGCAGCACCGCCAGACAATAAAGCGCTGAAACTGCCCGTGGAGCCGCGCTTGTGCCATGGGGAAGAGGGGAAGCAGGGGCTGCAGCATCATGGCCCCTGGAGAGGGGATGCTCCCAGCTGACTCGTGGCTCAGTGGGAACCTGGCTCCTGTGGATTCAAGGGCTTGGAGCTCCTCTTCCTTGCAGCTGCATCCTTGCCCCAATGCTGCTGCATCTCCCGGGGCTCAGCCAGGGGCTGGTGCTGTCTTAGGTGATGTTTGGGACTGGGGGGCATATGGGAATCTGCAAGGGGGGGCTGAGCACCCTGGCTGTGCTCCAGAGCTGCGCTGCAGCATGGACGTGGGCAAAGCTGCAGGAATGGGAATGCCAGGGCCAGCTGCCCGCTGCCATGGAGGCAAAAAGGCTCAAGGTCTCCCCCTCACCTGTGGTTGTTTGGGTGAGCTGAGAGAGGATAGTTGTGGCTACCTGAAGTAAAAAGAATGGAGACCCCAACTTCTGCTTCTACAAAAAAAACTCCTCAGGTGATGGGCTTTTCAAGCCAAACTGAGCCCTTCTAGTTCTGGTTTGTAGGACACCCCTCTACCCCCATGTCCTTCTCCCCAAGAAGAGAGCAGGAGGCCGGCACAGGCTGAATAGAGTCTGAATCGAAAGGAGGCCAGGAAACACCCACTGGAAAAAAAAATCATCTTTATTATTCCTATGATGGGAGCAACAACCACACTGCAGCCAGGGGGGAGTAGAAGCTGGCCAGGAGCTGTGTTGCTTCTCCCACCTGGGAGGCCAGAGCAGTGCCAGCAGCAGCTGTGCCCCTGGCACCTGCCCATGGAGCACTCCTGGTCCTGCTCCCACCCCCAGGCTGGCACACCTGGCACTGGGGCTGTGACTGAAATCAGGAGCAGCACCATGCACAGCCCACAGTGCCTGCCTCGCTGCCAGGCAGGGTGTTACAGCCCCTGGGACAGGGAAATGCTACTTCCATAACACCTCCTTCCTTTAGGCCAGGGTGGCCCCAGAGTGATGGAGGGCTGGGGCCAGGGGATGTCATCCCTGCCGTGGACGCTCCCCCCAGCTCTGCCATCATGGGCAGAGTGGGGGTTAAGCTGCCTCTGTGTCCCCAGCCAGCACCAAGCCTTGCAGGGGGCACCAGAGCCAACAGGACATGGACAGTTACTGCTGTGCCCAGGGCACTGCCAGCCCACCCTCCCAGCAAAAAGCATCCCCCCTTTTTCTTCCCTCCCTGGCAAAGTCCCTGCTGCTGGGATTCCCCCCTGCATGGTCCCTGACAGTGGCTGGCTCTGCTGCCCACCAGGATGCTCCCAGGGTGCAATCCCTCCCTGCCAGCAACTCCAAAGGACTCCAAGGGGTCTAAGCAGGCCATTCACCTGCTGGCTGCTGACTAATAAAAGCACACATCTTTAAGATCCAGGGAACTTCTTAGTAACATGATGCACCATTGTTCTGAACAACAACATTAGGCAAAGGAAAGAAATGGAACAGGAATAAATGAGTCAGTCACAAGGAAAAAATTAAAACCCAACCCAAAAATATAACCCAACCCCTGACAATGCAATCACTGGGAGGGAATCAGCCCCCCTTGCCATAAATATTAATTATGTGCAATTGTGTGTAGTACTATAGTGCAAATAGCTCTGCATTGATCATGGGGCAGCTGCCCCAGGTGACACAGGGACTAGTTAAGGACAGACAAGAATCAACACAGATTTCCAACAAACAAACAAAAAAAACCCCAACCCAGTCACTGGGAAACTCCAAAAAGGAGTTGCCTCCTCCAACTGGGCCCAGGCAAGGCTGGGCACTGCTGGTGCCCAGCAGCATCCTGGAGCCAGGCAGGGGCAGGATAGGGCCTCTGCTCCCTGCCTGCTGCTGGCACAGCCTGGTCAGGGGCAGAGGGCATGAGGAGGAGGATGCAGGACAGATATGGTCAGGTTGGAGCTGTGTGGGGTGTAAAGAGGTGAGCTCAGCAGGACACGGGCACAGCGAGGGCATCGCTGGCTTCAAGCTGGTCCTGTGGCTGCACTGCACAGTGTGGGGCAGTGCTGCTGGCAGAACCCCTGCATGGGCACAACACTGAGGCCAGCAGCATCCCTGGGCACCCTGTGACACTTCATACCCATCCTACAGAGCACAGCCAAGACCCTGCAGCACCTCTCCCTCAACCCACAGCATCCCCAGGGAGCTTGTGGCACCTCTCACCCGTCCCTGCAGTGTCCCTGGGCACCCCTCACTGCCTCCAGGTCTGGCTCCCAGCCGTGCCCATCACGTGCTGTTCTGAGGCCGAGCTCTGGCATTGCTCCATTGCTACCTCTCACCCAGTGCCAGCTCCTGGCACCACAGCTCCCCCTGCACAGCTGGGGCCAGAGCCAGCTCCTCGAGCCAGGCTTGGCAAGCAGGCAGGAGGGGACAGTTTTCCCTGGCGCTTTAAGGAGACAGAGCCTCCTCTTTCCATGCCAGGCAGGTGCCAGACAGGAGCTGAGCTGTACCCCCCTGGCTGGATACAAAGTGCTCCCAGGGGCAATCCCAGCACATCCTGCTGCCCCAAGGACGGTTTGGATCTGAGCTATGTGACAGCCTCCTGCTAAACCACGAGCAACCACCAAACAACACAGGGACATGCGGGTGAGGAGCGCGGGGTGCATCCTGCTGGGTGTCAGCCACGGGCAAGGAAGGGGGAGCAGAGGGGATCCTCCTCTGCCATCCCAAGTCCAATGCCCCTCTCCACCCATCCAGGCTCTCCCGGATTTTTGGGTGGATTTTTTTTGCTGTATGGATGAAGAAGGCTGGAGAGTGGCAGTGTCACATGCGCACACACACGCACACCCACGCACACCCGTGCTGGCAGCCGCAGGAGCGCTGTCATCCCCTCACCCCTTGCTGGGAAGGTTTACATTGATACAGTATTTAAGACACGCCGATATATAAATTACTGTCTCTATATATACTATGTATAGGCTGAGGGCCAGTCCGTGACGGGGCACCAGGGGGCTCATTTCCCTCTGTCCTCTGTGTAGTGCTGGAAGCGAGTGAAGCTCATGAAGACCTGCTCCAGGGAGATCTGGCTCACCGAGTAGTCCTCCAAGCGATACTTCTCTTTGGCTTTCTCCAGGGCCCCAAAGACCTGCAAGGGAGGGCAGGGACAGGAGGCAGCGTGACTGGGTGTGGGGGCACTCCCAGGACCACAGGGGGAGCCCCAGGCTGTGACAGGGAGCACCCACTGTGACAGGGAACCTCCTGGCTGTGGCAGGGAAAGCAGAGAAAGTTTTTTTCTCCAGGGAGACCCAGGAAAATGACACCTTCCCTGGCAGGAGAGTGGGGGGAAGCCAGGAGTATCTGACACCATTTAAAAACACATGCTATGAATATGATTGTTTTACACATTTATATGTGATAAATGCATACATATATACACATATACAAATACATACATATATATACATGTATATATGTATTTATATATATTCACACACATATCTGGGTTAGAATCCCTGCCCAAGGCTTCTGCTAACACATATATAAAAAATCTTTATATAATATAGAAATAACACTCAGGATACTATATACACTATACATAACTATCTGTATCTAGCATACACATCATTTTTATATTGAGCTACATATGATATACATATATTTATATACTATTTATATTATATATATTTATAAACTCACTCTCTAGTTTTTATATAATCCTATACATAGTTTTAATATAATCTGTATACTATGTACTCTCTCTATATATACTCTATAGACTATACTACATACTTGATAGAGAGTATATAGAGTATATAATCTTATAGAGTATTACCTATACCATATACCCTATTGAGTAGATATATTGTATAAATACAATATACAGTATATGATATACTCTATATCCAGTGCATGTAATATACAGATATATATACTTAGATACTGCATATGAAAACTATCTATATACTATGAATATCTCTATATTCATAGTATATAGATAGTTTATTCATAGTATATATAGATATATTCACATGTATTCACATATAGATAATGTACATGTAGACAGTATATACACAGAGCTATACTAGGTATACTCTATACCTAACTCTGTATATGTATGCAGAGGGTTACATACTGTATCTATACTGTGGGGTTTTATTGGTGTCCCTGGGCGAGGACCCCTCAAGATCAGTGCCTGGGGAAAGCCACTGCCCACAGCCCCAGTGGGAGCACACTGAAGCACTGCCAGGGGGTTCCTGGGGCTGAGGGGCAGGAGCAGGGAGCTGTCAGCACGGGGAAGTTTTGCCCACCCATCCCAGGTTTCCACAGCGTAATGAAGCGTGGGGAGAATGCACCACCAAAAGCAAAGCACCAAGAACAAAGGAAGGGGCAGAAGAAGGGTTCCCAGTGCCCCCTTACCTGTGCCCAGCTGAGGTTCTTGTTGGTCAAGTGGTAATGCACCATGCCCTGGTGCTCATGCTTCAGGACACTGCCTGGAGAATCGAGCAGGGAGAGGCTCTGTGTTAGGGAAGGTGCTGCAGTTCACACCCAGCACCCTGCCCCTGCTCTGGGGGCAACCACTCCAGCAGCTCACGGTACCTGGGAAAGTCTTCTCCACGAAGGCCTTGAAGGCCTGCAGCTCACCCTCCTCCTCACTCCGGGTTTTGGCCAGCAAGGTGTATCCACTACCAAACTTGCTTTTGAGGTGCTGGGGGCTGCCCAGGCACTTGAACTGCCCATTCACCATGATGGCCAATCGTGTGCACAGTGCCTCGCACTCCTCCATGCTGCAGGAAGGAGAGGACTCATTCAGAGAATCCCAGGATGGTTTGGGCTGGAAGGAACCTTAAAGCTCATCTCATTTCACCCCCTGCCATGGACAGGGACACCTTCCACTAGAACAGGCTGCTCCAAGCCCAGTCCAGCATGCCCCAGAGAGGGGGCAGCCACAGCTTCTCTGGGCATGTAAGCACCAGACACAAGCAGAAGCTTCTGGGAAGCGGCTCGAGGTGTGTTCCCTTCTCTCTGGACTCTTTGAGGAGGGAGATTTGGGTAGAGCCAGCCACTAGCTGCAGGCAGTGTATACCCACCCACCAGGCCCTGGAAGTGTGTCCCATCCCTTGGATCCCACCACTCTCCCTGATCTCTTATGCCAAGCCCTGCCCAGCCAGGTGTCACCTGTGGGAGGTGAAGATGATGGATTTGCCACACTCCCGTGTTCGTGTCACTGCGTCCCAGAGCAAGCGCCGGGCCACAGGGTCCATGCCAGTGGAGGGCTCATCCAGGAAGATCACAGGGGGGCCACCAATGAGAGCAATGCCAGCACTCAGCTTCCGCTTGTTCCCACCGCTGCAGAGGAATCACAGAACCATTAAGGTTGGAAACAACCTGCGAGATCACCAAGTTCAACCTTCAGCTGAAAATGGGAGCGAGGAATGGGGACAGAGCCCCAGTAGGAGCACAGGGAGCACCAGGCCAGAGGAGGGACAGCGGTTTGGCCAGGCCTGCTCTCACCTGTAGGTCCTGACGAGTTTGTCGGCGTGCGGCTCCAGGAGCAGCCCCCGCAGCATGTTCTCCACGCAGCTGCCGATGTAGCGCTCGGGGATGCCGCGCAGCCGCGCGTACATGCTCAGCGTCTCGCGGCCCGTCATGTGCTCCAGCAGGGCATCGAACTGCGGGCAGTACCCGATCCGCTGCTGCACCTGCGGCCCAGAGCAGCGCACGGCAATCAGCCCACGGGCAGGGCTCCGAGCCAGGGGTGCCTGGGCACCCACGGGCCTTGCTGCTCCTCCCTGAGGTTCTCCTCAGAGTGATGGGAACTGAGTCGCAGATCTGAAACCGTGGGGGGAATGAGAGGGAAATGCCCCCTGGAGCAGCTGGGCTGACAGGGACAGACAGATGTGTCTCTGGACAGCAGCTGGGTGGGCTCACAATGCCTCTGCCAAGCTGGTTCCTCACTGTGAGGGACCATTTTGGGGTGCCCAGGCTCTCAGAAGAAGGAAAGTGCTGGAGGGCTGGTACCTCCCCCATGTCATGCTCACTTCCAGGGACAAGAGCATGAGAGAAGGCAGTTTCGGGGAAGGAAGCAATTTGGGGCATGCTCTCAAGGAATGTTCTTCATGTCTGACCTTGTCTGAGATCCCAATTCACTTAAGACTTGGACTTGATGGTCCTTGTGGGTCCCTTCCAAATCAGAATATTCTGTGAAATCTGGGACAGTGGTAGAGGAAGGACTGGACCGAAAGCCTAACCCCTGCTCATCTCTTCCTCTTCCAAAGGAAGTGGGCAATTCCCAGCAAGGACACCCCTAGCAGAGATCTGGAAAGGTTTGATACACTCATTTTAGAGACCATCCTCCAATATTTTCCACATTTCCAGCAATGGAGGTAAAACCCTTTGATGAAGGGTTTGCTACCCTCAGCAGGTTTGGTCTCCATTTGTATCACATCTGTAATCCCAGCAGAGAGGAAACTGCTTCCACATGGCCAGATAATGGAGAGCTGAGCCAGCCAAGGACACAATGTCCCTGGGATATACATTGTTCCTGCCTCACAGGATAGTCTACAACACTACCCTCACCCCCGCAGCCTTGGGTACCTTCTTGATGTTGGCCAGAATGCTGTGGCCATCCACAAAGGCGTCCCCCGATGTGATGCTCTCGTCACCTGTCAGCATCTTGAAGGTGGTGGTTTTGCCCGCTCCGTTGAAGCCAAGGAGACCAAAGCATTCCCCTTTGCTGACGGCCAAGGAGATCCTGTCCACTGCCAGCAGGGACTCCCGGCTGTCATAGACCTGGAGGAGGCACACAAGGGCCACGTGTCACTGCCCGATGGCACGGCAAGGCGGGCGGTGGCTCTGCCACCCCCAGAGGACACGGCTCAGATGGCATCAGGATCCTCAGGCCACCTTGCCTCACCTTGGTCAGTTCCTTGATGACCAGAGGGCTGCTGAGAGACGACAGCAGTTCTGGTGGTGACTCCAAAACCTTCTTCCTCTCATCTGCCACATCCCTGTCCTCTGGCAGCACAGACACCCTGTTCAGCAGGGCCACCTGAACACAGGGGGAAGACACACTCTGTGTCACCTGGCTGCTGGGGGATGAATGGGCTCCTCCAGTGTCCCCAACCCTGGCAGGATCCATCCCTTCCATCAGCTGCCTCTGGAGATGTCTCACTCTGCCAATCCATACACTTAACAGGACTGGCTCCTCCAAGCTCCAGGGATGCTCCCTGGGAAGATAATTTAGGTGATGAGGGCCCGTCTCCAGCTCACAGGGACTCCTGGGCTGGGCCTGGAGGGCACAGCTCCCTCCCATGTGCTTCACTCACCCATTTCCGCCGCCTGCAGATGCCACAGACCAGAGTTCTCAGTCTCCAGAGGAGGTTTGTCTCAATGAGGAAGAGGAGGAAGAGGAAGGAGAAACCCTGGATGGCCAAGGAGGTCAGGTACCGCCCAATCCCAGGGGTCTCCCAGGAAAAGTAGTTCATCTGATAACTGATATCTGAGGAAAGATGGAACAAAATCAACTCCAGGATCAATCCACACTTTGGGGAGGGGCAGATAAACTCCAGAGAAAGCTGTGAGCCCAAAACTTTGCCAGGCTTATCTTCATCCCACACTGGCTCCCTGCCCACAGCTCTTTCCAATGCTTCCCACAGGAGGATTTGGGTCTCGAGGGGATCTGGCAGAGGACGCCCAGTGGAGGCAGGCAGAGGACACCAATCTTGGGATTGGGATTTTTTTACTCATCTCTGAAACTTCCCCTAGACACATTTTTCCTCCAAATCATGAATAAGGTGATCCAGTTAAGGAATTTTCTCCTATATATGTCCTAATATGCTGCCCAGTTTTTGCTCTAAAATGGTACCTGCAGCTACTGCCCAGGCAGAGGCCCCATGACACTGCCCAGTTCCACCATACACTCCACACAACCCCCCAGTGATGCTGTGGGGGCTGGCCAGGTGAGGATGTAGAGACTCACTGAAGGCCTTGCAGATGAAGATGGCTTCAACAGAGGAGGTGCAGAACTGAATGAACTCATAATTCTGGTAGAAGTCACTGATGCACTGGCCCAGGCAGTAATTGGGTAAGACGAGAAAAACTTTATCCAGGGTTTTGGAGAGGTCGACCAAGCCCAGCTCTGAAAGAGAACAGGTGGATCAATGAATTAGAGACTGCTGGTTTGGGAGAAAAAACCCTGATACCTGAAAGACTCTGAAGTTTAGAGAGAAACCAAACATATTTTGTCACATTTAATGAGTTAGAATTGACTGTTGTAGTGTTTTATGGCTATTGTAGGACCAGCCCTGGGGTCAGAGAGCCCCCCTGGGGCCTGGACCTTGTTGGTGATGGCTGGGCAGGTAGAGAGGGCAGTGACCCACCTGGGATGCTCATGATGGTGACGGCGAGGAAGGTGGCGGTGCCGGAGAGGATGTTGAAGATGGTCAGACGGGTGTAGGCCGTGGCTGCCACCGAGAAGAAGAAGCTGAGGAGGTACATGAGGGGGATGATGGCCCAGCCATAAAGGAGGAAGATCAGCATCACGTCAACGAGGTGGCTGTCTTGGGTGAAGGCTTGCACATTGAAGGCTTGGAATATCACCTGGGACACAGCAATGTGGGGAGAAGGCACATTTGGCTTGACCTCAGGCGATGTCTCCTTGTCCCAGTGGCCCAGGGTAACATCAGCACTGCACTGACCCAGACAGCCCCTCATGGATGGGTCCTACCAGCAGCCCATGGCTGTCCCCAGGGGAGGCCCTTTCTGCAGACTGGGATGCAGAAGAGATCTGGGGAATTCCTCTCCAAGATCTCATGGATTTAACATTTTCTAGTCCCAACAGCAAAGAGGGAGGACAGAGGATACTGTCAGAGGACACTGCCCCAGCTGGTTGGCCGTGGTCCAGCTCCCAGCAGGACCAAGGGACAGCTTTCTAGCGGGTCCTTTCTACAGAGACATTGCCAGTGGTCTTGTCCTTCTCCCTGCACCCACGCACATCCCAGAGGAGCAGCGCCCAGCACTCCCACCAACGGGGAGGGCATTGGGGTGCCAGGGGTGACTCACCAACATCAGAGCACAAGGGATGAGGAAGTTGATGATGTCCCAGAGCAGGGCAGAAAGCCAGAAGTTGACCACGTACACGCCACTGACGAACTGGACATGCTTGGCCTTGATGGCGCGTTCGCTGACCAGCAGCAGCGCGAAGGTGCTGGAGAGAGAGGCCATCCCATACAGCAGGTTGATAGCAATGGCAAAACCAGTCTGGCCTCTGTGGGGACAGGGGGACGTTAGGGCAGGAACACCTCAGCAAACCAGTGCTGAGGCTGCACAGGGACAGCAGAGAATCTCAGAATAGTCTCAGTTAGACGGGACCCACAGGGATCATCCAGCCCAGCTCCTGGCCCTGCACAGACACCCCAACAATCCCGCCCTGTGCACCCCTGAAAGTGTTGTCCAAATGCTCCTGGAGCTCTGGCAGCCTTGAGACCAGGACCATTCCCTGGGGAGCCTGGTCAGTGCCCCAACACCCTCTGGGGGAAGAACCTTTTCGTGATTTCCAGACTAACCCTCCCCTGACACAGCTTCAGCCGTTCCTTCAGGTCCCGTCTTTGGTCACAGAGAGCAGAGATTAGCACCTGTCCTCTGCTGCCACTCTTGAGAAAGCTGTGGCCAGCACACCCACACTGGGCTTCTTGAAGAGGCTACACTTAGCCAACATGCTGAAGAAACACTCAAGGGTGACAATCATCCCCCAGGCATAGCCCACCCTGCACACCACAAAAGTTCACGCTGCCTTGGTGAGGTCTCAGACATGGCCCCTCTGGTCTAGGTGAGGTTCAGAGGCCCTGGATGTGGGGTTTTGTGAAGAGCATGGCCACATGGCCTCCACTACTATGAGCACCCAGGAAAAATAACCGCAGCCAGTATCTCAAGGGGACAGCCAACCTCTGAGATGTGCATGGGGTGACGTGGCTGCCAGGCTCAGCAGGGAAGTCATCTCCACAGATTTGCCCTCCTGACTTCCTGAGTGCAATCACAGCTACATTTGGGGCTGAGAAGCTCCAGCCTGGCTTCTTCACTGACTCCAGCACAACCAAGCCAACCTGCACCCATGGGAGCCCTAGCAGGAAAGTGAGCCCTGTGCCATCACCACACGTACTCCATGAGCTGGTCCTTGGCCTTCTCGGTGATGTTGCGGGGCTGGGGGTAGTTGGTGACGGTGATGGAGGCGTTGGGGCCTGCCAGCACCCTGAGGATGGCACTGTCAGCCAGCATGAGGGCGGTGGCTGGGGAGTGGTAGGCCTGGTTGTTGAAGAGCGCCGTGACCAGCGTGCGGTTCCCCATGGCCTCGAAGGAGGCGGCTGCAATGTAGTGCTCGTTGAAGGCTCCTCCTTCCTCAGAGGCTCGGGAGATGAGGTACTCCTCCAGCCCACCTGCCAAACACCACCGCTGTTATGGGCGGGCTTCATCACACCACAGCTAACTGAGGCCAACTGGAAAAGACCCCAAGCAGACTCAGCCCTGGTGGCCCACCCTAGTCCTCATCACAGATACACAGATCCACAGAATCTCCTGAGTTGGAAAGGACCCACAAGGATCATCGACTCCAACCTCTGGCCCTGCATAGGACACCCAAACAATGCCACCATGTGCCTGAGAGCATTATCAAAGCTCGTTGAGCTCTGGGAGCACTGGGGCCGTGACCATTCCCTGGGGAGCCTGTTCTAGTGGCCACAAACATGGGGTTGTGGAGAAGACAGCTCTGCTCAGATGAGGAGAGGTCCTGCCAATGACGCGACACTCCCACACAGGAAAGAAAAGCATCAGATATGGCACAGCTGGGATGTAAACCACCCACACCAGTGGCCCCTGGACATCCCACCAGGCACCACCTCCTCCAGGGGTGCTCCCTGAGCCCTCACCCAGCACCTCCAGTGGCGACTGACGCTGGGCATCCAGCAGCTCCGTGTACTGCTCCGCCAGCCTCTGTGGCAGCCTCGCGGCGCCCGACACCGAGAAAGGTACAATGGTCTGGCCATAGGGCTCCAGCGTCAGCCGCAGCTGGGACGAGTCCCGTGGGCCTGGGAAGGTCTTGGCCACGATGAGGGCAAAGGCAGTGAAGATCAGAGGCACGAGGAACTGCGCCGCCACCATCTTCCAGTTGCGCCAGCTGTACATGGCCCGCTTCATGAACATGGCGTAGAACTGCTGGCAGCACAGGTAGAACTGCGAGGGGAGAGGCCGGGTCACAGTGAGCCCTGCCAGCTGGGGACACGTCACCGCATGCAGCTGATGTGGAAGATGACCCCAAACCACCGCCATCCTTATGCACCTGCCAGCCTGCAGCAGTCTGCTCTCCAGCTAAGCCTATAAAGGGATTAGCAGGGCAGCTGCCCAGCTCCAGCTCATCCAGCTCCGTGGCTTCTGAACGCGACACAGTCACTTTGAGATCTCAGGTGCTAGAAGCAGCTTTAGCCATGACCTTTACCTTCCTCCACCTCCCACCAGCTGAGGCTCCCAAACAGGATTACTGCAGGGCAGGTGTCAGCCAGAGCAACCGGGTGAGCATCTGCAAGTGCCCCACCCAGCCCCTGCAAACACCTTCTGTGCTTTTCAAACCCAGCAACATCCTCCTCCCCCTCTGCCTTTGAGACGTGCCCTTGAGAAGACAAGGGACATTGATCACAGGCGCTGAGGCAGCGGGGCATGAAGGGCTGCCAGGGAACTGGAACACGAGCCTAGTGAGGGAAGGAAGATGGATTTTCTTATCTTCCTTCTGGAAAACCCCAACAATAGAACAACGGCAGGTGGAAAACCACATTAGATCACCTTGAAGAGCAACTTGGATCCCAAGATTAATATGAAGAGTAACCCTACTAACCCAAAAAATCATTTGTCCTAACAATGCAGATTCCAACGTGAATTTTCAATTTGATTGTGGTTCCAGACCACATGCAACAAGAGCAACTGTGGGGGCGGCTCCACCTGGTAACCCTACTTCAAGCCCCCTCCCTTCACACATCGTCTCCCCGTCCCTGCTGCACCGACCCCCCAGCACTCACCCCGGTGTTGAGCTTGATGCTGGAGCAGTCCTCAGTAATGAGCGCCCCGCTGTCATCCGTCATGTCTGTCATGCCACTCAGGCTGCTGGAGTCATCCATGGCCCAGTCGTTGGAGCGTCTCTCGTGCTGGTACTGTAGAGCAGGCAGCTGGATGGCCTGGATATCCATGCTGGAGTCCACGAGCTTCCCAACCCTGTGCCAGGAGGGAAAGCAGGTGATGAAACAGAACCAGGCAGGATACAGCTGTTCTGAGCTGGGGAAGCCAAAGCCAAGAGACCAAAGCCAACAAGTGCCCCAGAGGGCTATGCTGGCCATCACCAAAGCACATGGGCACTGGTCACCCCTCCACCTACCTGAGGAACACCTCCTCCATGGTGGTGACCGAGGCGCCGTAGCTGGCGATGCCCAGCTCCTCCCGCCTCTGCTCCAGCTCTGTGAACAGGGCCTCAAACCTGAGCAGAGAAGGGAGACATCAAACACTGACACTCGTGGGAGGGGACACTCAGGGGTAAAGACCCTCTAGGCATCAGTCCTGCGGCTGGCTGGAGTCTTGCATCCAACCCCAGGGTGACCTGTGGCACTGAGCACACCCCTGTCCCCCAGGGCAGACTTTGGGTTCCACTGGCTGTTCTTGCCTCAGCTATTACAGAATCATGGAAATACAAAAGGGTTTGAGTTTGGAATGGACCTTACTGACTATCTCATTCCAGCCCCAGCCATGGGATGGGACACCTTCCACTATCCCAGGGTGCTCCAAACCCCATCCACTTGGGCCTTGGGCACTGGCAGGGATGCAGGGGCAGCCACAGCTGCTCTGGGCACCGTGTGCCAGGGCCTGCCCACCCTCACAAGAAACAATTCCTAATTCCCAAGATCCCATCCATCCCTGCCCTCTGGCAGTGGAAGCCATTCCCTGTGTCCTGTCCCTCCATCCCTTGTATCCCTTGTCCCCAGTCCCTCTCCAGCTCTCCTGGAGCCCCTTTAGGCCCTGCAAGGGGCTCTGAGATGTCCCTGGAGCCTTCTCCTCTCCAGGTGAGCACCTCCAGCTCTCCCAGCCTGGCTCCAGTCCTTGGAACATCTCTGTGGCCTCCCTGGACTTGTTCCAGGAGGTCCACATCCTCCTGCTGGTGCCTCCAGACTGGCAGGGAGCACTGCAGGAGGGGTCTCACAAGAACAGAGCAGAAGGAGACAATCAGCTCCCCTGATCTCCTGGGTCTATAGATCTGATTTCAGAGCCAGAACATCCTGCCTTATGTGTGCCACCCTCAGCACTACAGGAGGAACTGAATCCCATTTTCCATGACCAGTGCTGATGCAGGGAGCAGCTCCCCTTTCCAGCAAGCCTGTGAGACAGTGTGTGAAGAGAAGGGACCCCCCAGGGAGGGGCAGCAGAGGACAATGCCATTACCTGTGGGTGCTCTCCTTGGGCAGGATGAAGGACAGCTCTGCCCCGGCGTTGCTCTCCATGGTGGCATTGGGCACGTACTGGCAGATGAGGCGGGAGATCTCTCCCAGGTTGCAGTAGGGCTCCTTCACCATCACCATGTGATATCCAGCCCCTGGGGGCAGCCATGAGAGAAGGGAGAGGAGGGTCAATCCCAGGCCAGCCCAGCCTGGGCAGGGGGCTGGGACAGAGAGGGATGCACAGGCACCGCTCTGTACCGGACACGGACACCATGCAAGAGCAAATGTGGAGATGGGCCCCAGGAGAGGCTGAATAGCAGGATGGGGAGCACCAGCCATCAGGCAAGGAGCAATGGATCCCCTCCCTGCTCTCTCTACCCCTCCTGCTCCTCCCTGGCCAGGAGAGGACACGGAGCACAGCCTGCTCTGCCCCCATACCGTATTTGCGCTTGAGGAAGAGCGAGGAGCCGCAGCACTGCAGCTCGCCCTTGGCCATGATGGCTATGCGGTCCCCCAGCAGGTCTGCCTCATCCATGAAGTGAGTGGTCAGCAGAATGGTTCTGTTGCTCCTCTGCTGCTGCAGAAGATCCCACGTGGCTCTGCGGGAGGCTGGGTCCATCCCTGATGTTGGCTCATCCAGCATCACCACCTGCACTCAGGAGATGGGAGCAGGTCAGAAAGGGCTGGGGGAGGCCCAGCAGCACAGGAGGGGACAACCTCAGGGCCCAGGAGAAACCTCGGCCTCACAGCAATGATCTTGGGGAGCAGCTACCAGACAGCAGAGCCTCAGGGCATGACCCTCAGAGTGGGGGTGCTCCTGCCCGCTCCCCGCTGTCCCTGCTTCTCCCACTGGCTCACTGCACTTGAGGAACAGCCTCAGAGCCACCCCAAGGAGCTGCACTGGCCCCAGGTGCGAGGGGGCCCAGCAAAGGCACCTGCCTTGGAGTCCCCGATGAGGGCGATGCCAATGGACAGCTTGCGCTTCATGCCCCCGGAGAGAGCCTTGCTCAGGGAGTGGCGCTTGTCCTCCAGGCAGAGGATCCTCAGGATGTGGTTGATCTCCTCAGGACACTTGGAGGCTGGGTATCCCTTCAGCTGCCAGACAGGGGAAGGGAGGAGTGAGCCCACCTGCAGGGCTGCCAAACCCCACCACACTCCCTGCTCCACACTCAGACAGGAAAGTGGGGAAGCAGAGCTGGACTCCTGCACACCCCCGCAGGAGCTGGCACAGCTGGCAGGGGTGGTTCCATGAGTTCTGCTGTCTGAGACCCTCCACTCCTGCACCAGCCTGCAGATGAGGTGGGAAGAGGATGCAAGGGCTGTTCTGCTTATCATGGAATCATGGAATAGTTTGGGTTGGAAGAGTCCTTTAAGATCATTTAGGCCAACTGCCCTGCCTTGGGCAGGGACACCTTCCACTATCCCAGGCTGCTCCAACCCCATCCAACCTGGCCTTGGACACATTCAGGGATCCAGGGGCAGCCACAGCTTCTGTGGGTAACCTGTGCCAGGGCCTCATCACCCTCACAGGGAAGAATTTCTTCTGTATATCCCATTTAACCCTGCCTTCTCTCAGTGTGAAACCATTCCCCATTGTCATTCCAGGCCTTTGTCCAAAATCCCTCTCCTGGAACCCCTGTAGTCACTGCAAGATGCTCCAAGGTCACCCTGGAGCCTTCTCTTTGCCAGGTGAACACCCCCAGCCTGGCTCCAGAGCAGAGGTGTTCCACCCTCTGACCATTTTTGGACCCACGTGATATATCTCACCACACTTCCCCACCTCCAGGAGCCCAGGCGCCTCCCCAAGGGCTGTCCCCCTGCTCAGTGCCAGGCTCACCCCTGCATAGAAGTGGAGGTGCTCTTCCACTGTCATGTTGTCAAAGAGGACGTCGTGCTGGGGGCACAGCCCCAGGCTGCGGCGGATCAGCACCATGTCCTGGGAGATCTCGTAGCCGTTGATGTAGGCCTGCCCGCCTGTCGGGGAGTGCAGACCTGTGGGGAGCTCAGGGTGACCCCAGTGGCAAAGAGACAGTGGAAATGTGGAGGGTCCTGATGAGCATTCACCCCCCCGCCGCCAGCTTTCTGCCAAAAACCAGAGCAGGTCTGTCTCGTGCTCAGGCTGCAGGACAGCAGCTTCCTCCTGCTGCAGGATGGGCTGCAGGGCACCCACAGGTGGGAACTGGCCACCAGTGCAGAAAGGAGAGGAACAGGCAGGTCAAACATGGTTCTGAGCCGTGCAGAGAGCCAGGCAGGGCCAGGGCAGAGTTCCAGGAAGGTCCCATGAGCCCCCTGAGTTGCCAGGAGCAGCTCGGAGCAATAGAGAACAGAAGAGGAATATCAAAGGTCATTGTGTCCCTTGTGCCAAAATAGGTATCCTGGAGCCCAGCAGATCAAGAATGACAAACACCAGTTCCACCTTATCTGTGTTACCATGGCAAAGCCTACAGAGAGCCATCCTGGACAGCACATCCAGTCTCTTCTCACAGCTCTCCAGCACAAAACCTTGCTGCCATTTCACCCACTGGCTGATCCCACTCTTGTGGAGGGCTGAGCAGGGACCCTCCATGCTCCTTTATCCCCCTCTCACTACCCTGGCACTCCTAGCCAATGGCTCAGGAAACTAAAGGTGCTCCAAGGAGATCAAAAACCCCTCCCCATCCTCAGAGACAAGGTCTGGCTCTTGTTCGAGGGTAAAGCCATCAGTTCCTGCAGCAGGAGACTCCTACCTGTGAGCATGGACAGAGTGGTGGTCTTCCCAGCACCATTGTGTCCCAACAGGACAGTGATCTGCCCCTCGTACATGTTCACTGTCAAGTCCTTCACTGCCTCTTTTGTCTTGTTTCCCACTTTGAAGACCTGTGGAGATCAAGTCCATGAGTTGGTGCTGCATTTCAGGCAAGTGCCTCAGCTCCACCCAGCAGGCAAAGCCTGGGATGCTCACGGGGTGTTACCAGGAGACAACAGGTCTAATTCAGGTAAATACAGATGTCAACAAGTTAAATACAGATGTCACTGCACCTCTAAGTACGCAGCACTTCATCCCACCACAAAATGCAGCTGGGTCTGGGGAAGAGCCATACCCAGCCCCAGGGCAGCACAAGGATACAGAAGCTGTCTGCAGGCAACAGAATTTACAAAACCAATATTATGGTGTGTTTGTGCCCTGCTGGGCAGTCAGTACCTTGGACAGGTGCTTTATTTTGATGCCTGACACGAGGTCAGCTGGCTCCTCCTCAATGTACTGACTCTTCAGGGCTTTCTCAGGGTCCTCCTCCTCCTCTTTCTCTTTCCCCACAACAGTCCTGGGCCGCCCACACCAGTACGAGGGCTGATGGAGGAAGGGAGAGACAGAAATCAGGCACAGGCAGAGCCCATCTCTTCATCCCAGCCTTGGCCACCCTCCTCCTCCCACAGACATCTCCCAAGGATCTCCCAGACCGCTCTCTTTGGCCTGGGAATTACCAAGCAGAACATCTTCAGCAGGCAGGGCTGACACGATGGAACAGCTCCTCCTGCCCTCCCCCATCTCTCCCTTACAGCAGGACTGCCTGTGCTTACACAGCAGCTCTTCCCCAAATTCCACTGAGAAGTAAAATCACTCAGGCGGAATCATCCTGCCCAGGAGAGCCCATGGATGACCACCCCCTCCAAAACACCTGAAAACCACTAAATACAGCCTGGGGTCCAGCTGCTGCAGTCACAGCCCCTTTTTTTTGACATGGCTCTCTAGGAATGAAACTAAGTGTTTGGGACCTTAAATCCTGGTGGGAATAACAATTCAATAACTCCTGGATGCAAAATCAGCTTTTGTCAATGGCTGCATCTCTGTTTCCCCAGTCTGACTGCAAGAGGGAGTGAGATGCTGGAGTGAAACCACTCTAGGATTACGAATTTGGAAGGGAGAAGGAAAAGCCTCTCTATCAAATAACAAAGGATCCATCTCCAGTATCCAAACAGAACATATTCTCCCTGCAGCCATGTAGCTGCAGTGCCCACTGCAGCTGCAGCTGCTGAGGGTGATGCCAAGTGTTTGGCTTGGCAGAGCGAGGGTGGCTCAGCTGAGGGGTCACACCCACCCTGGCACGTGGCAGCTGGCAGTGAGACACAGGTCACCCATGCCCGCCTGCATGGCAGTGCTCAGGGGTGTCAAATAGCTGGATCTGGTTCCTCCCACATGGGGTTTCTCTCCAATGCATTTGCTTGAGCCTGGAGACATTTAAGAACACCCTGCATGCCAGAAGTGCTGGGAGAGAGCTCTAAAGCCAAGATGACCTTCATCCACAGTAAAAATCTACAGCTGCATCAGCCTTTAGTGAGGACATGCTGCAGGCCCTGTGAGTTTGGAGGCCAGATGGTGCCACCCTTGGCCATCTGTCTGGTCTACTACACAGCACAGAAGTGGTGACTGTCCCAAGTGATGCCCCTCCAGCCCAGGGAGGGGTATAAGCAGTGCTTACCGTGAGGAAGAAGTACCAGGGCTGTGGCACACCGTACTCCCCAGGGAACACAGCCTCCACGTACCAGGCCACCACACCATACAGCACCGAGTCCAGGAGCAGCATCCCCAGCACCTGGGCCAAGGTGAAGTTGTCATCCACGCTGATGGGCTTCATGAGGTCCCTCCACTGGATGCCAGTCCCTGCAAGGCACATGGGACACTGCTCCCTCTGCATCCCCAGGAGGACCATCTTCTCCAGGACTGGCAGAGAGCAGCCCCTCTGCCAGCTCACTGCTCCCTAACCAGGAGCCCCTGCACAGCTCTGTGATCCTCTACAGATGGAGGGAAAAGAGGCACTGACCCCTCAAGGCTCCCCACCCCACCATGCTCCTTCCATGGCATTCTCTGCCACTGCCTGGGAAGAAATGATTCCTTCTCCAGCATCACCCCTCCAATCACTGCAGCCACCGAGCTACTGCCACACCAAGTAAATGCATGGCTCTGCATGGAACCAACAACAGAGTCTTTTAAATTAAAGAAATTAAGGATATATATTGTGAAGGAGAAAATGCAATGGTTCTCATCCATTAGAACAGAATTCCTCCAGTAAATAAAGTGAGGATGGTCCTTCGCACAGCACAGGGGCACAGGAACAAGTTCAGAGAGCCCTGGTATGAGAGCAATCAGCTCTAGTAAGAAGGAAATTGTTTCTTTTCTCCAATGTCTCTCCACCAAGCCAGTGCCACCCCACCACAAATGAGGCTGACAGGAAGGGGATGCTGCTCTTCCCAGGAACAGATGGCCCTGCTCACCTTTCCCTTCAAACATGCCGATGAGCTGCGCCCCCATGGCCATGGCCACGTTGGAGATGAGGCAGGATGCCAGCTTCTGGCTGTGGGACATCAGGTCATAGCGGGGCGAGATGAAGAAGTAGGGGATGTAGGAGAAGAAGTAGAGGAAGCCGCCAGCAGCAGCCGCAACGTTTGCTGCCAGCACAGGGAAAAGCAGGAGGGACAATGTCAGGGGATGTCACCCAGCACTGCTCACCAACTCCCCACCCAGGGACGTTCCAGATTTGTGCACTAAGCATGGTTATGTAGGGGCAGCACAAGGACACACACACATCCCAGCAAGGCAGGAGCCTGAACCCGACCCCAGCCCCATAGTGGGCAGCTGCAGAAGCCTCTGCCCATCCCAGAGCAGAATCTGGGGCCAAGCCAGCCAGATGAGGCCCTAAGACAGGAGCTTGTCATAGTACCAGGGAATGGTCTGGGTTGGAAGGGGCATTAAAGACCACCTTGTCCCACCCCCTGCCATGGGAAGGGACACCTTCCCCTATTCCAGGTTGCTCCAAACTCCATCCAACCTGGTCTTGAACAGTGCCAGGGATGGGGCAGCCACAGCTTCTCTGGGCACCCTGTGCCAGGGCCTCTCCACCCTCACAGGGAACAATTCCTAATTCCCAATATCCCATCCATCCCTGCCCTCTGGCACTGGGAAGCCATTCCCCCTTGCCCTGTCCCTCCATCCCTTGTCCCCAGTCCCTCTCCAGCTCTCCTGGAGCCCCTTTAGGCCCTGCAAGGGGCTCTGAGGTGTCCCTGGAGCCTTCTCTTCTCCAGGTGAGCACCCCCAGCTCTCCCAGCCTGGCTCCAGAGTAGAGGGGCTCCAGCCCTTGGACCTGCTCTGGTTTGGGAAGCAACGGTACCCACATCCCTTTCCACACACTGTGCAGAAAATGCAGCCAAAAATGGGAAGAAATGCCCCCTCACAAGTCCAAGTGTCAGTAACAAAAGAAGGCAGCTTAGGGGGACTCACCTCGTGAGAAGAAGGTGCTCACCATGAAGTTGAAGGAGATGGAGGAGATGGAGAAGATGGCGAGGAAGGTGAACACCAGGGTGGGGTCACTGTTGGTGAGCACTGCTCCCTGTTCGCTCACCTGCCAAGAAAATCTTGTGAAGCCCAGAGCTGCTGGAGCCAGCTGTGGCTTTAGCAGCACAGACCTGATGTTATCCAAGTGCTGGAGACAAACTCAGATGGGTGAGGACACCCAGAAACTCCCAGACCACTCCAGAGGGAGGAAATACAGACTGCCCTCATGTGATTCAGGATCTAAGGGGCAGGGATACCCTGGCCAACATCCAGAGAGCCCCCTTCTGCTTGCCCTGCTGTGGGCACATGCAGAGGGGAGAGCTCAAGGAGCACCAGATGCTGTGGGAGCAGGGTAGTCCTGCTCTGCATGCAGTGTCCCTGGAGCTCCAATCCCCACCTCCCTCTGGGGGGAGTGACCCTGCCATGAATGCAACTGTGGGGCAGCACTGCTCATTTCAGTCCGGGAAACCCAAACTCCAGTCTTTGGAGGAGCCCTGGGACACCAGGACAGTCCCATGGCAGAGTGGCCCTGTCATCCCTGTGCCTCACCAGCACAGAGTTTGTGGCCTGGGGACAGACGCTCACCTTGACACAGAAGAGCACGGTGACGAAGAACACGGACACCAGGAGGAAGAGGAAGAACATGAGGAACCAGGCACTCCAGTGCAACCAGTTGCTGAGGCCCATCATGTGCATGTACTCCTGTGGGAAGTCACAGTGTCACCCACAGCTGCACCCACACTCCCGGGGCACAGCCAGGGCAAGGCACAGGTGGCTTCCCCTCGTGGCACAAGCAAAGGTGGCAGCCCCAGGTACCAGCAGAGTGGTCCTGCACAGCCACCAGCATGGTGTGGTGTCCCCCACCTCCCCAAACAAGGGCTGCCACCACTGGAGGAGTTCCCAGAGAGCTGAGCTGAGCCCAAACCCAGAGCAGGGTGCCAGTGGTGCCACCAGGGCCACCCAGCACAGGGCAGGACAGCCAATGCCTGGGGAAAGCCAAACCCTGCTGTTGTAAGCATCTGGCCGAGCTCCAGCCGCCCCCACAGCACACGCAAAACGGGTCTCTACATGCAAAAGGCAAAAACAGACTTCAAACAGACTGAACTCTTGAATCCAAAAGCTCTGGAACCCAGACATGTTGCCTCTCTCCCAGCCCTGGAGAAACACCATCCCTGTGGTCCAGGACCCCGGGTTGCATGGCAAGGAGAGCAGGATTAGCAACATTCTTCCCTGGGGCTCGCTAATCCGCTGCCATCCCCCTCTCCTGCTCACTGGCTCTACACCCAGCAGGGATTTTGTTCCTAATTTAAAGACATCATCCATTGGGAAAAGCTGCAGAGGGAGGGGAGCACATCCCAGCTCTCACCTTCAGCTTCTTCTCCTTCTCGTGGACGACGGCGCGGACGATGTTGAGCGAGGTGTAGGTGAAGCTGAGCATGAGCAGCAGGGGCAGCTGGTTCTGGATGGCCAGGAGGAAGAGGTCATTGACGTAGGCTGGGAAGGGGAAGCGCTGCACCACCACGGTGATGTTCTCCAGCAGGCTGGCAGAGCTGGCACTGGCGTGGTACTGCATGATAGCCCTGTCCACCGCGTGCTGCACTGCCAGGAATCCCTCCCGGAGATAACCTGCACAGCAAGAACCACACCAGGAATAGACATGGGGCTGGGGTTTGGAGGGACAAACAGCCTTTGTGGGAAAGATTGCATGGGAAGAGGAACAGGGACTAAAACTGGAGTGCAGAGGAAAAGCAATATAAGCATCACTGTGACACAGGGGGCTGGGGAAGGATTGATACCACAGCAAATTCACTGAATCACTGGTTTGGCTTGGAAGGGACCTTAAAGCTTATCTTGTTCTACATCCTGCCATGGGCAGGGTAACCTTCCACTAGACCAAACCAGGATCTTCCATAACCATCATTTAGGAGAGGCTGCCAGGAAAACTCTGTTCATGGTTGCTGTCCTGCAGTATGGCTGTGACTTTGTAATGGGGAGATTCTCTGTCACCATCAACCACCACAAGTCACTGGGCTTGTGTTATTCCCCCGTTTCTTTGTAAACCAGAAGAATAAGCAATACTACACAGGTTGCAGTCAGAAGAAGTATATCCTGTGACTCACACATGTGGTATAAACTTTTGTGCATTAGAAAACACTGAAAATATTTAAATTTCCCAACAGCATCTCCCAAGTGGGAAGGGACCCACAAGGATCCTGAGGCCAACTCCTGGCCCTGCACAGACACCCCAACAATCCCACCCTGGGCTTCCCTGGCAGCGCTGTCCAAAGGCTCCTGGAGCTCTGGCAGCCTCGGGGCTGTGCCCATTCCCTGGGGAGCCGGGGCAGTGCCCAGCACCCTCTGGGGGAAGAGCTTTTCCCTAATCTAAACCTCTCTTGACACAGCTTTAGACAACAAAATCAACTTAAAATAGTTTATTTTTAAGTGGAATTGCTGCCAAATGTTACCTGAACAGGAACTTAAATTCTCTTGCAAAACCCCAAATGAACATTTTGAAAGTCAGTGGGCTAAAATGACCCACAGAGAGAGAAGATAACAGTGGAATTATGAGATTGGGAACTTTGTTTGACATTAACTCATGTACTGAGCAAACACTCTGGGGCTCTGCTTTATTTACATACTGTGAGCAAAACCTGTTTGCCCACTTCCTCGCCCTCACTCTCCCTGGACACTGCAATAGAATACAGAGGGAGAAATCCCACTGAGGGAAATATTCCCTCTGCCACCACAGGAGGAGTTCCCAAAAATCCAGTCCTAAGCCAGCAGCAGCTCCAACAATGTCCCTGCTGGCTCATGCTCTGCCAGTGGTTTGGCTGCCCTTAAACACCGCAAACCATAGAACTGCTCTATTTACTTCTCAAGTACTTAAACAGTACAATAAACACGGGGCAGTTTGGATAGTGATATAAAATTTCCATTAAAAATTGAAATGGGAAAAAAATTAAATTTTAAAATGGTTCATGCACATTAAAATTTATTCTTATCCAACCCTGCTCAGCAGAGGTGCCCAGAGGCCAAGCAGTGCCCATGAAGTCACACAATAAAATTTAAATAAAGGATAGCTATAATATAACAAATATAAGAAAATTGTAAATATATTCCAATTACATCTAAGTAATTAATAATAATTCAACAAAATAAAGACATATTAATATATAAATAATAATTAATTATTTATAATTAATATATAAATAAATATTAAGAAGCTCTATAGTAAATCATTAATTAATATTTAAATATTAATTTAAAATTGTGTCATTATTGGATGAATTGTTTATATATGCACAAAACTGAATATAAACATCTATAGAAAAGCATAACCATTTAACTATTTATATATTCATAAAGATTTATATGTAAATTTTAACATTTCAATATATATAAATATTTAATTGCTTGTATATATAAAATAAATATATGCTTATAACAAACAAATATTTAATTGTTCGCTTTATACAGATATAAATTTAATGCTGGTATAAATATAAATCACTACTTCATTATAATTAACTGAATTTAATAATTTCTTTTAGATGAACCTATTTCTCAAAAAGCTCAGAGCCTGCCACGTGCTGTAGGAAGGTGACCCCACGTGCTGGGCCGTGCTCACCTGGTGTGCCCCCATCAGCAAACTTGGCCTCGCGGGGCCCGGGCAGCTGGAAGAGCGGGAAGAGGTAACTGGTGTGCCAGTCCCGGTCCAGGTTGGGGTTCAGCCCCATCTGCTCGCTCCGCGGGGCGTTCCTTGGGCTGTACTTGAAGCGCAGCTCATACTCCACCTGCAGGGAGGGTCGGAGGTGGGTGGGACAGAGCCGGGTGACACCCGGCTGGGGGATGCTGCCCCACCTTCCCTGGCTCACCTGGAGGGGCAGCGGGGCCGAGCTGTGAGGGAAGCGGTGCCGGAACACGACGGCAGCCAGGACGCTGCCCGAGCGGTTGTCCAGCCTGACGTACTCCTCAAAGTCCCGCTCCGAGGGGAAGCCCTGAGCTGTGGGGCAGAAACAGGAGATGCAGGGACAGGGCACAGCAAGGCACCATGCACTGCTGCTCAGCCACCCCCAGGAGCATCGCTGGGTCCAGGACAGGAGGGATGTGCTGTGCCTGCTGTCAAACACGGGGGAGTCACACAGGATGCTGCCCTGTATCCTGGGCATGAAGACATTCCTCCTCCTTGAGAGCAGGAGTCAGCTTTCCCACAGAAAATTCTAACAGATTGGAACACCGAGTGCTAAAATTTTCTGTGCCAAAAGATTTCCAAAAATACTCTTTCACAGGGAAGTGCTGCCACCTTCTTTAACTGTTTTAGGGTGATATTTTTCAAGACGGAAACTGCAATAAAACGAGACTAAAAAGCAACCCCAAATCCTGTCATTTTACTGAAAAAAAACCAAAAACCATCAAATGGTAGCCTTGAAGTTCAGCAAAAAATGGTGTTCCAGGAGCATGAGGATTCAGAATCAGTCACAGAATGGTTTGAGCTGGAAGGGACATGAAAGACCATCCAGTTCCAGGACCCTGCCATGGGCAGGGACACCTTCCACTGGACTAGGCTGCCCAGAGTACAGACTCACACCAATTTCTGGGGTGGAAGGAGCAGCCCCAGCCCTGCTCACCTCTGATGTTGATGGGCAGAGCTCTCTCCACCGCCTCGGCGATGCTCCGGACGGCGCTGCTGTTGGAGGGGACATAGGCCAGCTCCCAGGGGTTGCTGGCATGCTGGGAGGAGAAGAAGCTGGGCAGGTCATGCACAGACTGGCTGGGGTAGAGGGTGGCGTTGGGGTGGCTGACGGAGTGCACGCGGTGCCGCAGCGCGATCAGAATGGCGGCGAAGAGCAGCGGCAGGCACACCTCGATCAGCGTGACCAGGATCTGCCTCTTCTGCAGGCCAGGGGAAAGAGACAAACATGGGGCAAGGATATAAAATACATTATGTATCTGTATATACACAGACATCTAGACAGCTACCATCAGTGTGTATCTATACACAGATTACCTATAGTACACTCTCTCTCTCTCTCTCTCAAGAGATAAAAATGAAGATGCAAACATAGAGCTGGATAAGACAGTCATGAGGTTCAGGGCATGAGAACACCAAGAGCAATAGTGTTCTTGCATTCCACAAGGTTTCACAACCTGGGTTTTTCCAGAGGCCAGGAATGACACTGTGCTGGTTCCCACATCCTTTAGGACTCTCCAGCCAAGGGATCCCCTACCCTAAACACTGCTCCAGCTCAAACCAGCCTCCACCAGAGCCTTCCTCACCACACCACTGGCCTGAATGACCCAGGCTTGTGCTTTGCTCCTTCCCTGTGCCCTGGGGCTCTGCCGTGCAGCAACACTGCTGGAACCAGTGCCACTTTTCCTGCTGGAGCTGAGTTGCTCCAGGCAGCTGGATGTTGGATCTGCATCCCAGGATGGGGCCCAGCAGAGCCTCTGGCTACAGGAGGACTACAGCATGCCAAGCACACCCATGGGCATAATACCCAAGCCACTAATGCACTACACACAGTGGCTTTTTTTTTTTTTTCTTTTTTTCTTTTTTTTTTTTTTTTTAATTGAGATTCAAGCAACTGGAGAATGAACTCCAGTGCTGCACTCTGGACCTTCATCCATCAATTCCCCCAGGGCTATCTCTCCTGCACAATGCCTCCTAGCCAGTAACACCCCCCACCAAGATAGGTTCATTAGCATCCAACCCAGGTCAATTAGCATTTCAAACTGGTGTCCCAGGGGAACTGTGGTCATCGAGCAACCTGCTCTAGTGGAAAGTGTCCCTGCCCATGGCAGAGCACCGGGATGGATGGTCCCTTCCAATCCAAACCATTCTGGGATTCTGTGATTTCCTCCTGCAAACCGAGCTGCCTTCACCCCAGGCCAGGCTCAAGAGCAGCACAGCACACTCAGCCTCAGCCACAGCAGTGACAGCTCAGAGATGTCCCTGCCCACAGGGGTTCATGGCTGCTCAGAGCATGTGCCTGGAGCAGCAGCATTAACCTTTTCTGAGGCCTCTGGCTAATTTGGGCTTCACAAGACATGGGGATTTTGCATGCTCCCCCTTTGCCAGGCTGGAAAGAGGAGCACCAAGAGCTTAAGTCTCACAACTTTGCTGTCTCAGCAACTGGATATTATGCAGCAGCTAGTGGGCAGGCTCAGGTGGGCAGAGTCTCCAGTGGGGCAGGTAGGGAGCCCTAAGTGCATCCTGGGAAGGGAGACGGCCCTGCAGGAGCCAGGCTGAACAGGATCTTGGACAGTTTGTCAAGAGATGATAAGGGAACTACCATTACCCTGGCTCTCAGCACCCACTGTCAAAGCCCAAAACACCTCTTGGGGATTCCCCTGGGAGGAAGAGTCTACTCCAGCCACAGCCAGCCCCAGCAGCATGGGCAGGAAGCAGAAGCTTCAGGCAGGCAGGGGAAAAGGAGCTTTCCCAAAGCCACACTCATAAATGCAAACGCTGCAGATGTCTGATGGGTTTATAATGCAGCCCTGGCAGCCCAGCTGCCTCCCACTGATTTACTATGGCACTAAACCGCTCCCTGTCTCCCGGGCTGCCTTCAGAACAGCTCTGCCTCCCTGAACTTGCAGGCTCACACACATTCAACAGCTCTGCAGCAGAAGTCATTCAAGTCTCTATTACAGAGGTGCCAGGGATACTCATCCCTAATCACCACCTCTGCCTGGCCCAAGCAACTCTGGAGAGCCACTGTCCTCTCAGTGGGCTGGGGGTGACTTGGGAGCTGTTTCTTTATCAGGAACAGGACCTTTAGTTGTATCCTGGCACAGCAGACCTGAGTCAGCTTGAGGCCTTGGAAAACACGCTGAGATGTATCCCCACCCTGGAGCACAGCCAGAAAACAACGCTTTTCCCCTGCACAGGGGATGGGGGATGCTCCTGGCTGCAAATCAGCCCTGCTGCCAGTCCCTTTTGTCCCCTCAAAGCCCAGTTCCCTGCTCTGTGCCTGCTGGAAGGCCGGGTGCGGCCAGCACTTCCCTCTTCCTTTGGGTTATTTTTACAGCAACGCTGTGCCGAGCTGCAGATGGGTAATTGAAAGCGTAAAGCCAGGCTGCAGACATCCCTGCTCCCTCTTCTTCCCCCACACTCTGCCAGGGCTGGCTCTGGGTCCCAGCGGAGCCACAGAATCCACCCAGGAACACCTAAAGGGGCTGTGGCCTGGGCCAGCACCAGGCAGGACCTGCCAGCCCTGCGGTCCCCAAATCCCTCAGTACCACCCAGCTGCCATGGTGGGAGGTGGGCTGGCAGTGGCTGCCAGTGGTTTAATATTTTTAAGACCCCTAAAAGCTGCTCCTGAGAGTGGTAGAAAGCAATGAAGGAAAAGAACCCCAGGGCTCCAGTGGGTTTTGGAGGCACCGGGACTTCCAGAGGAGGTTGTGCAATGAGACAGCTCAGAAAACCCCACTGTCACACAGATGGGGCGTGGGTTACCCGGTGCCAGGAGAAGGGAGGGCAGTCTGGGGAGGCCAGGGACAAGGAAACTGAGTACAGAGCACAGCCCATAAGGTCACACAGCCCAGCACAAAACACACCACGTGCACAAATAACCCAGTTTTCCTCCTAGAGATGCCCTGAGTCCACAGGAGAGGTTTCCTGACAAAGCCAGAGGCTGGGCAAGCTCTGATGTACCCCCATTTAGCAGTGCCAGAAGCAGCCCCCGGGTGCAGTGCCAGCCTACCTGCAGGATGTAGTTCTTCCAGAGCAGCAGCCTGAACTGCCTGAGCAGAACCATCCTCCCATCAGAAGGGGCCCAGCGCAGGACCCTGGAGGAGAGAGAGAAGAGAGCTGTGAGTGCCAGCTGCTGGTGGAGCTGGGCAGCAGGAGGGCAGCATCCCACACCTCACACAGCCCAGGGCAGCTATCTGCTCCCAGCCTGGAGCCACAGCAGCTGGCATCACCCCAAAAATAACCATTGTGCTCCCTCTCCTAAGAGTAAGTGCCCCTGGTTTCTGGCATGGCTGTTCCCAGAGATGGAAGCTGCTGTTTCAGTACCAACCCTGGGTCCTTCCCAGCAGCAGGCAGCAACAGCCTTCCTCGAACTGCAGGAGCACAGGGTTACAGAACCACAAACACCGGACCCAGGAAGGCCGTCAAACTCCTGGCAGCCTATTATTTTGGGATGGGTGGAGATTCCAAGCTGTGCCTCCACCTCCTGCCGTGTGAGGAGTTGGTTCTGCAACACTGGGTGCTTTCCCAGCAGAAACTCTGCTGCGAGAGGCAAGGATGAGAAAAGGGCAAGGGAAGCACAAGAGAAGGTCAGTGCTCGAGAATGATCCCCCGCTGCCTCCTCCCCCTCTCGGGAAGCATCCGCCATCCCTTCAAGTTGTTTGTGTCTCCATTTGCAGTGGCATTTCCTGACAGAGCACTGCTATCCCACCAGGACGCTGGCTGGGATTTTGGGCTTGCAGAGCAGCACGGAGAAGGAAGGGGCAGCCCTGGCACCAGCAGAGGCTCCTGCCCGCACTGCCGGACTCTGGGCAGCCCCCACCGAGCAGTGCCAGCCTCTGAGCATGGCAAACCCTGACAGGATCACAGTGGGCAGCTGTGGGGTCAGCTCTGAGCCAGTGCTCCAAAGCCTGGCAGCACTGAAAGTGCCATGGGGACACAGATGGGCACAGAACCCACGGGCAATGCCCTGGCAGGTGCCCCACAGCACGTTCTCCAGCCCTGGTTGGGATGGTATCAGCTCCCTGGATGCAGCTGGCACCCAGCAAGCTCAGCAGGGGTTTCAGGGTGCCCCAGTGAGAGGAGGGAGGTTGCTGACCCACCCTGCCAACCTTGGCTTCCGGGCAGGTGAACACACACAGCGAGCACAGCTCCAGTGGCAACAGAGCTGCAGCAACAGCAACCCGAGACACGCAGGGCACAGCAGCAACACCCACCTGCCTCACCTGCTCTCTGCCAGCAGCTCCTTGAGCTCTCCAGGAGCCTTCTCTGGCCTTGGCACACACCTTCCAGCCCCAACCCTAAACCCAGGAGCCTTCTCCTGCCCTGGCACACACCTTTCCAGGCTCAACGCTAAACCAGGAGCCTTCTCCTAGCTTTGCAAGCACCTTCCCAGCCCCAATGCTAAACTCAGATGTGTTCTCAGAGCACAAAAAACCCACCAGCTCTTTGCCACTCCATGCACAGAAGACAGATTCCCACAACAGCAGGGACATCTGTGTTCAAGGATCTTTCTCTAGGCACGAAAAAGCAGAAATCTTATGCTTCAGCCCCATGAAGTCCACCAGAACCCCGCCCAGAGCAAGCAGGAAAGGAATAGCAATGGGGACTTGGCAAAGACACCTTCAAGCACCTCACAAAGTGCCTTGTCTCCAGCTGACCTCTGGTCCACATGTGGCCAGGCTGTGCCCCAGGATCCCTTAGCAGCTCCCCAGGCCCACACACACCCACCCCACACAGCAGCATCTGAAGCGCCCCAGATAAGCCCCCCCACCCCCAAGCAGAAACCTTTGTTCTGCACCCCCTTGAGGGAATCCAGAGCAAACCAAGGGAATCCAAGTTGTGGCTCACTTTAAAGGACGAATGCTAGAGATCAGGCAGGAGCAGCTGCTGCCCTTGCAGAGATCCCAAATCCTGCTCGTCCTGCCGCACCCTCCAACTCAAGCTGCCCCCCCGACTGCCCCCAGCTGCTGCTGAGAAAATGTCAAGCAGCTCTTGGGTAATACAAACACTGTACAAAGACTGAAAACTGCATTATTGCCAATAAATATTTTTCAAGTTTTTAAGTGTTCCAAGAAAACTCGTTCTGGACCTTTCGCTTGCTGGAGATGAGAGGAGGAAGAAGCTAAGCTACAAAAGTTCTTACTGGATTTGGGAGCAAAAATGGTTTTCCAGGCTCTAGTATCCAAAGCACGAATTTTTTTTGCAACCCAAAAGAGAAAACCTGTTTTGGAAGGTGCTGCCTGGATCAGCCCTGAGATGTCCATGATCAGAGGACAGGACAGGTCCCAGGTCCATGTCTGGGCCCATCTTCGGCAGTTAGGGAGGGCTGAGTGCCACAGGTGGATGATGACCTTGGAGGCAACAAGGTGCCTTGCTGGGCAGCACATTGGGCTGTCCCTGCCAGAGATGCTCCTGCCTGACCTCAAGCACGACAAGGTAAGACTGAATTTCCCACCAAGAGGCAGGGCCAAAGATCTGGGAGGAGAGAGAGGCGACCACCACCAGCTTCAGGGAGAGCAACCCAGCTCCTCTCCCTGCTGAGGAGTTCCTCCCTTCCCAGTTCCTCCCTTCCTCCTCCCTGGAGGAAGGGTCTCCTGAACACATGAGTGCGGACACACCCTCACCATCCTCAGGGAGGTCAGGGAGGAAGGAGACACTCCTGCCTGCCCATAGCCTGCATGAGTGGATACAAGACTGGTCCTCACCACTGGTCCCCACCAGCCCCTGCCGCAGTACCAAGCTGTGCCGGGTAACGTGGTGGCACCAGCTGCCAGCCTGGACCAGAGCTGTTCTGCCAGTGGATTTAGATGAGGACAGGCTGAGCATTGGCAGCAATCAAGGCCACAGCATCCCACCTCCTGACCCACTTCCACACCGCCTCGTTGCTGGGAGGTGGCTGTGCCCAGCCACCGCCTCAGCGGAAAGGGCCGAGCAAAGGCCATGTGCTCCCGGGAGCCTGCAGTTATTTTAGAGCACACACCACATTTCTGCTCTTCTGATGTCCCGTTCCCATAGAAACCAGCCCTGCAAATGGCAGACGTTGCCTTTTTTAATATAAACCCGGTGTTTCTTCTTGCTGGTTGACAGAGACACCGTGTCACCCCTACAAGATGAGCTGCCAGGTGCCTGCACCTCCGCAGCTGTGCCCGGGGTGGTGGCATCACACACCTGGCCAGGGCTGTCAGTCTCTGGGTAGTTTCCACACTGTCACTGGAGCAGGAAATTCCTCTCTGCTCCCCACAGTGTCTGTGTTGGAAATTATTCAGCCATAGCAGGGCAAGGACTTTTTATGGCCACTGTTTACAGGAAGAGTGAGTGATTTCCAAGGCGGGTGCATCTAGAGAGTCCCAGGTCCTGCAAAGAGCAACCAGGGCCAGCAGCCCCCAGACCAGCCATGAGTGTTCAGTAACACACAGCTCTCACTGCTGGGCTGTCTTCACCTTCTCAGTGTTCACAGAGTTCTGGGAGTCACAGCAGAGTGAGACCATAAAAACCTCACCTTGGTTGTGAAAACAGTAATAAAACTTTCTAAGAGGCTGTAAGGTTGGTGGGGTGTTGGGTGCAGCAGGGACCAGTGACCTCACAGCCCTCTACAAACCCAACACCAAGTGTCCGACACATAAGATATGTGAGTCTGGGTTTGACCCAGACAGGAACTTCAGGCCTTGAAATAAAGAAGAAAGCTGAGGCTAGATCCTGTTTGCAGAATGAGAGATTGGCTTGTGCCCAGCTGCTGCCCTGCAATGGGAGTGGGTCCGTGGGCATAGGGAGCCTGATGGGCTCCATGGTTGCGTCTGTAACTGCCTTTGTGCTGGGGCAGCAGCAGGAGAGAGGGGAGGAAACTGCTGCAAGAGCTGGTCATCCCCTTTGCCTTAAAAACAACATCACTGGTTTGCCCAGTGAGTTTGCAGTTGCTCATAAAAAGACAAACTCTGCAAACTCACTGGCCTCATGAATTTAGCAAGAACAAGGGCTGGAGCCCAACACAGGGGTTTCTCATGGACCCTTGTACAGCCCTGCTCCTGCCCTGCAGTTCTCAGTGGCTGGGCAGGACAGGCCACCTGGGCAGCTGTGAGCAGAGGATAGGGAGATCCCTTCTGCTTCTACTTGGTTTTGAACATTTCCAGGGATGGGGACTCCACCACACTCCTGGGCAGCCTGTTCCAGTGTCTGACGACCCTTTCCGTGAAGAAATTTTCCCAATATCCAACCTAAACTTGCCGTGGCACAACCTGAAGCTGTTCTCTCTTGTTCCATCACTTGTTCCCATGGAGCAGAGTCCGACCCCCACTGCGGCTGCATTCTCCCGTCAGGGAGTTGTGGACTGAGAAGGTCTCTCCTGAGCCTCCTTTTCTTCAGGCTGAGCCCCCCCAGTTGCTCCTCATTAGACTTGTGCTCCAGACCCTTCCCCAGATCCGTTTCCTTCCCCCGACACGCTCCAGCCCATCAAGGTCTGTCTTGGCATGAGAGACTTTCTCATTCCGAGCCAGGGCCCGGGGCGCAGAGGGGCCAGCAGATGCCCACTCGGTCCCCGCAGCCCCGTGTCCGTTCTCGGCAGGGAGGGGCGGCCCGGACTCCCCCAGGATGCCGGCGGGTCCCAGCCAGGCGCATCCCCCGAGCGCGGCCGAGCATCCCCGCGTGGCGCCGCCTCCATCCCGCGCCTCCATCCGCCGCAGCCTACGGGGGACGCGACCCTTGCGGGCCCGCGCAGGAGCCGCCGCCGGCATGGAGCCCGAGCGGCGCCGGAGCGCGGAGGCGGCAGCGGGAGGAGCCGGCCAAGGGCCCCGGAGCTGCCGCAGCTCCGGGCGGGGCCGCCCCAACGAGCGGACAAGAGGCCGCGGCCCCACGCATCCCCCGTCCGGCCCGACCCCCCCGCTACTGCTACCATCACCCCCCGATGCTCATCACCCCCCGGCGCCCACCATCCCCCGTGCCGGCGCCGGTTCCGGCACCCATCGCCCCCCCGCTCACTCACCGGGCCGGGCGGCTCCGGCTGCGGCTCCGGCTCCTGCTCCGTGCGGCCCCGCCCGCGCCCGCCGCGGGACCGCGGCACCGCGCACGCGCCGGGGGCGGGACCCGAGTGGGGC